CCCCAAAACCCCAAAACCCCAAAACCCCTTTTAGTTCGAGAAATATTGAATGTGGATATTATTGGAAAACCTTTTAGTCTTTGAACCAAATATCTTCAACTGTATTTCTGAAATATAGATGTGCCTTCTCAATGCTTCCATACTCGTATCTATATTGATAAGTCTGTTTATTACAAATCTAGACTAGACTGGATTGCATCAGCAAAATTAGGAAGGGTGCAGTCAACTCCAAATCCTTCAAGACACCATGATCTTAGTGAAAGAGACTCATCTCCCTTTTTCTTATTACTAAAACATTAGGATCTGACTTACAAATCCAAAGTGATAAGTCCTTTAGGACTGAACACTGGAAGCTCATTCAAGAACGAGTAACTTTGGTTCTTCAGAACTAATTTTGGATACCAATCAAAAGCTTCTATAGGATAGTTGGTTCTCCAACCCGAGTAAGTTCTTGGAGCTTTTGGAGGCGGCTTTCTTTTTGTGAATATATTCTTGAACTTATCGATAAATCCAGTCAATTTAGCAGGTCTATAGCTGCAATGCCTGAGCTCGATCCTAACAATTTATACAGTTTTTACCTTTTGAACTCTTCTTCAGTTGAATTATCAAAGGCAACCAGCTCTTTCAATTTCTTTTTGCGTGTTTCTAAATCAAGTTGAAGTTGAAGGATTATTGTGAACTTACTATCAAGTTTTAACTTGTCTAGTTTGTTTATATTCATCTCCCTAACAGCTTGCATACTTTCTTTGAGTGCATTTGATGGAAGATTTTGGTCAATCCTGAGATATCTTGAAACCACAAGCCCAAGGATATTGATTGACATCACTGGGTCAACTTGCAAATCATAGTCTAATTGAAAACTAGGTTAATATTAGAACATTAAAGCCAATATCTAGCTTACCCAATGATAGGATTCATAGATGCATCATCCCCGAAGTACTCCAGACTATGCCAAGTTATAGTTATGAATATAAGCAAACTTACTAATAAATTTCAGTTTGTTTCTCAAGTTTTCTGACTATTTCTGTTTGTTCAGGACTTCCATCTCCAGGCAAATGGGCAACAAAGCTTTTCGGCTTGATTTCTAAGTGTGGCATCTCTGACTCAACTATATCTTTCACAAGCAATCAGGTGTCTCTGTAATGCTTAGTATGGGTAATGTGTTGGTGCCAAAACTGGTCAATCCAAAAGCTTGGAGCTACTTTACATTCTTTTAGAGCAGCAATAACCAAATATTTAAGATATCAAACGAACACTTCAGTTGTAAATTCTTCAGAAAGTGACCAGTAAGCTGAGAAATCTTTCAGCAGAAAAGTAGGGAACTCTAGTTCAAGAAGTTTGCTCAGCAAGAATTCTGCATCTAGATTTGTTGAGCTCACGTTTATAGCTGTTGATTGTGGTGGCTCTTTGTCAAGACACTCGAGCACAAGATCTGCAATCCTCAAACATCCTTTCTCTGACATAACTTCCTCAGTAGTTTCATCATAAAGCTTATCAATAATTTCAACAATATTGCCGATCTGGTTCCTTCCTTGCTTGGTTATGGCAACTTCGTATTTCCAATATTTGTATACGCAAGGATTGAATCCTTTTAGAGGATCTTTTGCTCAGAACAGCGGAGAGTCGATCTCTCCTTCCTTGTGTAAATCAAAGTCCAAGCCCTTAAGATATTTGCCAAAATACTTGACTCCTTCTGCTAACTTCATTGACGTCTCAATCTCATTGCTGCTTGGATCAATGCGGTCTATCCAGCCCCACAAAGCATCGTGCAAAAATCAAGATAGGTTTGGGAATGAAGGATGAGCAATTTCCAGACTCTATCAATATGCAATGGAGGAAATATCTCAGTTCGATTGGCCAATAATAATAAGGTTTGTATCCCTCAACCTTTCCAATATCTCCCAAGAACTTGGACTCTTTAAGGCTAACTACCCTTCAAATATAACCGATGTAAGCTGAAATAATTATTGAATTTCATTTTTTAAATTTCAAATTTTAATGATAACTTAGGGGTTTTGGGGTTTTGGGGTTTTGGGGTTTTGGGGTTTTGGGGTTTTGGGG